CTTTTCATCATCCATCTCTCCAAGCACATCACCACCTAACAACACGTATGCTTCTAGTAATTCATCAACTCAACATGATACATCACATTCTTCGTCGAATTTGACGCCATCTACAAATTTCTTGTTGGGACCATCACATTTGAATGTAGATGATAGCGACATAAAGCCTTTGAAAGTATATTTGACCAAGAAGGTAACTGATATTCCCAAAGGAGATGCTACTAAAGCCGACGATGTATACGAAGGCAGTACTGAAGAATATTTTCTCATTGCATACAAGGTAGATCGTCATCATTATTTATTATTGTTGCTATTATTATTATTTATTGGTTCCTTTTGTAAATTATTCTGAAAATTTTAATAAATTTTTCAGCAAAATGATCTTACACTCGTTTTCCTGATATTGAATTCCTTGCCAGAGGTCCACACTAAAGTTTCTAATGTGACTCTTTACAAATCTATACACGAATATTTGTCATCACATTCAGATGACATTATCAAAAACATGAATGAGGATTATGAATATTCCGGAAAACTTGGGTATATTTATCTGATTTATTATTTTTTAATATATATATACATTTTTTCTAAATAATTGTATTAAAGAATTTTGTTGATCTTTACCATTCAGATCTGATACAGATAAAGAATATCGTTATGTGTTTTTCAACAAACTTAATTTGGCCATTAAATCATCATTGTATCCATTTACTGCCTCTAATGGAACGTCATCGTCCAAAGGATTAACCATCACTAGCGAAATGGCACATGCATTATGCGATCTACATGAAGATCTAGAAAAGTAAGTTTCTTCTTATTGATTTTTAATTAACTTTAAGGCTTCATTGACAATAATGAGGATTATTTTCAAGGGATCCGCATTTGACAGAAATTTATACACGATCAACAACGAATTTTTGGATTGTGGGTAAAAGATCAGATGGTCGAGTGTTATATGTTGTCGTACCTAAAAAAGAAGTTTCTTTGATGGAGGTTGAAGGTAATAATTTTTTTTAATTCATTCAGATAATAGTTTTTAATGTTATATCTAATTTTTTTATTTTTAGATGATGTAAGAAAATTAAGTAATCTTTATTTTTCTGGATTGTACGTTGATAATTAATTTATCGCAACTTAAAAAATTGAGTTTCATGATTTGTCGTTAAAAGAATTTGTATTATGTTATAATGTTATACGTATTTAATTCGTTATCATGATGATAAAAAAGACTCAAAAAATTTAACACATTTAATTTTGTAAACGTTTATATTACTCAAATTATTTAAATAATTAAAGTACTAACGCTATAACTAACATTTTTAAAGCTATAATAGTTGAGATTCTTTATTTGCAAAGAATTACTATAAAACTTAAGAAAATAATGTTCACGCAGTAAAGAAAAAAAAAAAAAAAAAACAAGGAAAAAAAATCGTAAATTTCTTTTACCTTCTATACATGTTTTTTTATATACATGATTTGAAAAGAAAAGTAGAAATGAAGAAAATATAAAGAATATAAGGCATGCCTAGTGCCACATTACAAATATTAATTTCGTTTTACAAAAGAAGTATGCAAATAACTTTTATGAAAAAATATCTAAAACTAGATAAAACGATCCTTTAAAGTAAGAAAAAGAAAATAAAAGAAATAAAACTCAAACATTAAATGTTCATTTACTTTCTTCCCTAAATGTTTAAAACTTCTTTAAGCTTCAGCTGCGGCGGCACCTTTCTTCGATTTCTTCGGCAAAAGATTTTGGTGAATATTTGGTAAAACACCACCTTGAGCGATTGTAACATGACCAAGTAACTTGTTCAACTCTTCGTCATTACGAATAGCAAGTTGGAGGTGACGAGGAATAATTCTTGACTTTTTGTTATCACGAGCAGCGTTACCAGCAAGTTCAAGAATTTCAGCAGCAAGATATTCAAGAACGGCGGCAAGATAAACGGGAGCACCAGCACCAACTCTTTGAGCGTAGTTTCCTTTACGGAGTAAACGGTGAATACGACCTACTGGGAATTGAAGACCTGCTTTAGCTGAACGAGATGAGCTAGCTTTGGTGGGAGCAGAAGCTGCAGATTTTCCACCGGATTTTCCACCAGAAGACATGTTGAGTTGATGAATTACTAGAAGCATACGTGTTGTTAGGTGGTGATGTGCTTGGAGAGATGGATGATGAAAAG